CACTCCCTTCACCTCTATCACGAAGTCTACCACTTCCTGAAAGGATTTCGCTGTAGCCGCTACCTATAAGGCTGAAATCCGCAAATCTGACCTCAACCCCTTCACAAAACGGTGAATCCGCTCTTGTGGACTGAAGCAAAGCTGGGTGGCATACCATGATAATGCATGGAACTTAGCCTCATACACAGTCACCGACATCTTACCTTGTTCTAGGCTCAAGAACTCATCTCTCCTCCTATCCCTCAAGGTCAGGGGGATATACTTCTCCATAAATAAGCTAGAGAATGACGCCCAAGTCATAGGTGGTGCCTGTGCGGGTTGACACTCCACATGTGACCGCCACCATATTTTGGCATTTTCCTGGAACTGATAGGTTACAAACTCAATGCCAAATCGTTCCACTATGCCCATTTTATGTAGTAACTCATGACAGTCAACCAGAAAATCGTAGGCATCCTCAGATTCAGCACCCTTGAAGACTGGAGGTTTCAATTTCAAGAGCTTATTGAAAAGTTCATGCTGATCGCTTGTCATTATAGGCCCTGTAGTAAAACGAGGAAACGTGCCTATTTCCAATGAGGAATCCATGCGGGGAGCCTCAGCAGCGACCTGTCATACTTCCGGAATCTGAGGTGCTGGTGCAGAAAACACTGGAGGTGTGTGGCCTTGATCAGTTAACCCGCTAAGATAATCAAGAACCTGATAAATCATCTCTGCGGTAGGTTGGGGTGGTAATTCCTCATTCTTCACTTGCTCACTTTCCCCTTCCTCACCCTCTCTTACTACTTCCTCAGTCGGTGGAGGAGTCACCGCCCTAGTACTAGATGGGATAGATGCTTGTCCTCTTCCTCTAGAGGACGTTCTCCCACGACCTCTACCACGACCCCTTGTCACTGCTCCTCTTCGAGCTACAGCCCTAGTGGCTGGTTCAGACGCACCCTATCCTGCCGGTGCTGGTGTTGGCGTAGTTGTTGCTCTAGTTCTAACCATCTGCGAAATAGAGTGAAGATGGTTAGATACCAATTTGTATCACCTAGATACTAATTGGATCCAAGTAATAGCACGAAAGAAAGAAAGAACGGAATTTTCCTAAAGTCTTATAGCCTCTCAAAGAAAAGTAAAGGCGTCCCCTTACCGTTCCTTAAGACTCAACTAGACTCATTCTTGTGTGATGAGACCAACGAACCTAATGCTCTGATACCAAGTTTGTCACGACCCAAAGTGTGCCGCGAGTGGAACCCACACTTACCCTCCTATGTGAGCGAACCAACCAATCTAAACCCCAATCATTTACCAATAATAAACAGAAAATAATGCGGAAGACTTAAAAACTCATTACCAAATCAATTGATAACTTCTAAAATTCAATACTTATCATCCCCAAAATCTGGAAGTCATCATCACAAGAACATCTATCCTCAAATTACTAAATCTAAGAATGTTTAGGAAACTAAAACAAATACAAGAGATAGTCCATGTCCGAACTTCAAGGACATCAAGACATGAAGAAGAAGATCCTGTTCAAGCTAGAAGCGTTAGCTCACTTGAAATCCGGTGTAATGAATACTGCCTAGAGTTGCGGTTGAGTTGAAGACGACGGTACGTTTGCTGTACTCCACAAATAACAAAGAAAGAAACATACAAGTAGGGGTCAGTACAAAACACAGGTACTGAGTAGATATCATCGGCCAACTCAAAATAGAAAACAATATATATCAGATAATATCATAAAATCAACTACAATACTCAACATGCGGCATTTACAATTACCATAACCCTTGGTCACAACACCAAGCACATCAATGAGGACTCACACCTCTCCATCATACTCATTTGGGAATTAGGTTTATTAAATTGAGTATATTAACATATTTCAAGATTCATTCTCTTTACTAATCCTGGTCCCGGAACGTGACACTCCGATCCTCATATACTATCCTGGTGTTGGAACGTGACACCCGATCCATATTATATCCTGGTGTCGGAACGTGACACCCGATCCATATTCTATCCTGGTGTCGGAACGTGACACTCCGATCCTCATATACTATCCTGGTACCAGAATGTGGCACCCGATCCATATTCTATCCTGGTGTCGGAACGTGACACTCTGATCCTCATATACTATCCTGGTACCAGAACGTGGCACCCGATCCATATACTATCCTGGTGTCGAAACGTGACACTCCGATCCTCATATACTATCCTGGTACCGGAACGTGGCACCCGATCCATATTCTATCCTGGTACCGAAACGTGGAACCCGATCCCCTAATCTCACTACTTTCATTCATCAAGCCTTCTTTTATACCAAGGCATCATCATTAACAAAGTAGATTAGGGTTTTTTTTCAAGATTTAGGATTCAATAGCTTCATCATGCTTACTTTATCATAATTATATAATCACATTCATGCAAGCATACAATTAAGCATATAGAAGGGTTTACAACACTATCATTCGCTATTAAGAGTTTACTACGAATAGCATAAACCATAACCTACCTCCACCGAAGAATTGCGATCAAACAAGCTAATTCCCCAAAGCTCTGTTGTCCTATTCGTTCCTCTCTCTCTCTCTCTCGATCGTTTCTCCCTTGTCTTTCTCTGTTCTTTCTATTTTTCTTATTCAAAACCCTTTTTCTTTTACCCTAATTAATATATAATTAAGTATAAAAGATGATAAAAATAATCCACTAATTATTCTAAGGTTATCTCCTTTAACCCCCAAGAAATTAAATTATTAACATTAAACCACTAACTTTATAATTATAAGCAGGAATAGTCCAAAACGCCCCTTAAAACATTTAACAGAAATCCGACCCAAGAAAGGTTACACAGACTGTGACGGCCCGTCATGCCTGCGACGGTCCGTCCTGCTTCTTCCGTCACAAAGTTCAGAGACTCAATTCCTTGAAGGGTCTGTGACGGCTCGTCATGCCTGTGACGGTCCGTCCTGCCATTTTGTCGCGAATTTCAGAGAGATGATCTCAGTACTCAAATTTTAGAATTCTAAGTGTTTTGGAACGAGACCCCCTTGACGGTCTGTTGTGACCATGACGGTCCGTCGTGGGATCCGTCGATCAAGAAAGTTTTCCCAGAAATAAAATCTACTGCTCAAAACGACTAAACAGGTCGTTACATTAAATGACTTGAATAAAAGGTACAATAAAACTAGTCCTCACAGACGACACCACGATCAACGAATCGTGTGTCCATCGACGGTCACTATGAACCTCCGTGCTGCACATCCGTTGATAAGTCCAGAGGCTATGAAAAATGACCCTTTGTCCAAATTGACTAAGTTACCATCGATGGTGTCCATCGACGCCCCGTCAATTGGACCATACCTCGTCAGTGGCCTCCGTCTATGGACACTGTTCTTGACAACTTTTGCCACCTTTTTCAAGGGTCCTCCTCAAGGTTCCTTGGTAGGTACTTGGGGAGTCATGCCTAAACGTTTTTAATAAGAAACAACTCGAATATGTGTTAGACACCCTTCCACCAATTTTCATGTTTTTCTGACTCCTAAAAGCTAGTCAAATAGGCTAAGGCAAGTTAGTACCTCATTGAACTAATTTATGGACGTCATGGATGTTTTGACTTCTAAACTTCCTAAATGACTTATATTAATTAAATAGACCTTAAAATAGTTCCTATACCCTTTGGCAGTCATGTTAGGCTCTAGAAGACGTCGTAGACTTTCAAAGTATTACATATCAGTGTAAAAGTGGTCCAATATGCATACAAACTCATACATCAAGTATTTTATCATTTTATGTCATAAAAAATCTGAATTTTTTTATTTTCACGTATTAAATCTTCTCATAATTTAACTAGTGAACCTCCCATTCAAAACTCAACATATGGGGAAAACATAGTGAAAACTATTTTCATTCCTCAAATATAAAAGTCCCAAAGGTTTTTCAAGAATAAAAAAATCAAAAGTGATTATCAAATGTATGAAATCACACCAACTCTATACATGAAACAATCACTACGGTAAAACCTGATGCAACATAAATGTACTAGACTGGAACTCCAACTAGTTCAAGCTCACAACATCCGGCTCAACAATAAATAACATTAACGAACTTAAAGGATCAAAATATAACAACAGGCACACAATCATTCCGAAAAAAAAACAGGTAGAATCTTAAGTTTCATGCCACTTAGAAGTATCTCTAAAGATACTAAATGACACCATGATCAAGTATCAACCTTGACTAAAGTTTTCTGGCTAAAAACTAAGCTAACCAACCAAAATTGGCCATAAAGATTCTAAGGATCATACAAACCTACAAACTAATCCTAAGTTTACCTAATGACAGAAACAACTCAAAATAAACATAATCTAACCAAGACAAGTCTAAAAGAGTTAAACCATAACCGACTTCGAGGTGAAAACTTCACCCGAACCTCTAATCCAGAACTTTTCCTACCATAGGGTCTCGAAACACTGACATGCTATCAAGAGCATAAAATACAAGTCAATATTGGAATAACGATATCCATGATCATATTACAAAGATATCATCTCTTATATTTATAGAAAAAAATTCATTTACATTACTTTAGATCTATTCACTACAAGTATTTGATCATGAAATTTCAAAATGAATTGAAATTGTATTTCTGTATTTCGAATTTGGAAAATAGTTAAGAAAGCATTCTAAGAAAAACTTCCATTTACAGTACTTTATATGAATCATGAAATTTCTATTGAAGTTGTAATTCTATTTCAAATTTGGGATATTTAATAGTTAACAAATATTCCTAAGAACTCTTGATAGGAAAAAACTGAAACTATTATACACATCAAGAAATGAACATATCATAATAAATAACAATAGAACTAATAAATAATATAACAATTGAAGAAAATTAAACAAACATAATATAAGATCCAAGTATGTTGAGTTTTTATTATAAGCCACATAAATTTAGAATTATAAAGTTCTCAATGAAGTTAATAAAAGCAAACATTGTGATGCTAGTGATGGAATAATCAGTCTAATTCTCTCCCTCCTGAGCAACAAGAACAACAGCCTTTGAAGTGTTACTATTGTTGTTAGGCAGCAAAATTTCATAATTTTTGGAATAAAACCACCATTCGGAATGGTCACATCTCTAAGAAATTGATACAACTCCTAATCAAACCTAATAGCTAATTGAATATGCCTTGGAGTGATACGAGTCTTTTTCTCATTCCTCGCTGCAATTCCAGCCAATTCAAGAACCTACAATCAATCAATATATGTAAAATTTAGTAATCACAAGCCCCAGAGATTTGACATAAAAGAGAGAGAGAGAGAGAGAGAGAGAGAGAGAGAGAATGAACTTGAGAAATTCACCTCAACTGCAAGGTACTCAAGCACAGCAACGAGGAATACCGGTGCTCCGGCACTAACACGTTTGGCATATTTCCCGACTTTGAGGAATTGGGCAATATGAGCCATTGGAAATTTGAGACCTGCTTTGCTGCTATGAGATCTCCTTTTAGCATTTGAACCAAGGTTTTTCCCTTTACCGACCATTGGTCTTTTTCACTTTAAAAAAACTAACAATTTTGCTTTTTGATCTATAGAAACAATAGACAAAATTAAGAGGAAGAATTGAATTGTTATGTGTATGTGAAATCCTAAAGAAATGTGGCTTTTAAAAGGAATTGAGAAATTCACCTTAACTGCAAGGTACTCAATCACAATAGCGTGAAATACCGGTGCTCCAGCACAAACACATTTTGCATATTTCCCGACTTTGAGGAACCGGGCAATACGAGTCAGTGGGAATTTTAGACCGGCTTTGCTGCTACGAGATCTCCTTTTAGCATTTGAACCATGGTTTTTTACTTTACCGACCATTGCTCTTTTTCCCTTAAAAAAAACTCACAGTTTTGCTTTTTGATTTATAGAAACAATAGACAAATGAAGAGGAAAAAATTGAATTGTTGTATGTATGTGAAATTCTAAAGCAATCTGGCTTTTATATTTATAGCCCACCAGGAGTTATAACTCAGCCAATGAGAAGATGATCACGAGGATTTAACTTGTATGCCGTTGGATGAAAAAATAATCAACGGTGGATAAAGATGTTGATATATTTCGTCAATTTCAAGAATTATAATAAGTTTATTTCCAAAAATAAAGAATTATGATGTGTGGGTTTTTTCCAAAATAAATAAGTATTAAGGTATGGTTGTTACCGAAAAAAGGGGCTATAATGTCTTTAATTTGTTGCCCAAAAAAAGAAGAAGACAAAAGGAATTATGATGAGTTTTTTGCTCAAAAAATAGGGGCAGATTTTTTCTTTAATATTTTGGTTGAATAGATCTTTGAACAGACTTGAAGTTTTACAACTTATTAAAGTGTAATTTGTATAGTAAAAGAAAATAACATATTTTATATGACTAACTTATTATCGGTTCAACAAGCTTGAAAATAACAGTAGCCTTCATGGAAAATAAATTAATTTAAAAAAATAATCAATCTTCGGACCTGGTGTCACTCGTAAATGAGCATCTACATATAAAGAGGTTATATTTACAGGTCTATATAATTCAAAATACAGTTCAAAAGAAGGAAATATAGTAAGCCTATGTACATCAAGAGCTCACCACAATCATAATCTACAACGATCACGAGACATCGACCACTCTTTGAGAATAGCTCTTGCTGAGAGCTGCATCTGAAAAAGATGGAAAAATATAGTGTGAGTACCAAAATATGGGGTACTCAGTAAGTTAAACAGGTCGACCAAGCTTAGAAAGATCAAATATATGGAGAGAAACATGACACTTCTAAACATTACAGTGGAAAGGTCCTAAGTTACGATAATCAACTACCAAGAAAAGAGGGAAAAACACAAGATCGCGAGAAGGAATAAAACACTCAAGTACAAGACAGTCGTAACATACATACAACAACTCACACAAATAGGATGATGCGATGCAAGTGACGAATACAAGAAAGTAGAAGCATGGAAGAATCTTCGAACCACACGAAATACCTTAGACTCATCAACAAGTGCATTGTAGTGAAATATAACTCGTATCTCAATTGACAGTCTTCCTTAAATGATACATCAAGATTATCACTGTAAAAGTGGCTCAATATGCATACAAACTCATAAATCAAGTATTTTGTCGTTTTATGTCCTAAAAACTCTGAATTTTTTTTATTTTCCAATATAAAATCTTCTCAAAATTTAACTAGTGAGCCTCCCTTTCACAACTCAACATATGGGGAAAACATAGTGAAAACTATTTTCATTCCTTAAATATACAAGTCCCAAAGGTTTTTCAAGAATAAACAAATCAAAAGTGAGTAAGAAATACATGATATAATCCAAACTCAACACATGAAATAATCATTAGGGTAAAACCTGATGCAACACAAATGTACTAACTTGAAACTTGAGGTAGTCCAAGCTCACAACCTCCGGCCCAACAATAAATAATATTAACGAACTTAAAGGCTCAAAATATAACGATAGGCACACAATCATTCCTAAAATAAGAAACACGCAGAATCTTAAATTTCATGCCACCTAGAAGTATTTCTAAAGATACTAAGTGACACTAAAATAAAGGATAAAACTTGGATAAAGTTTTCCGGCTAAAAACTAAGCTAAGCAACCAAAATTGGCCATAAAGAGTCTAAGGATTATACAAAACCTACAAACTAATCCTCAGTCTACCTAATGATAGAAAATACTCACTATAAACATAATATAACCAAGACAAGTCTAAAAATTGTTAAAACATAACCGACTTCAAGGTGAAAACTGCTCCTAAACCTCTAATCCAGAAATTTTCCTTCAATAGGGTCTCCAAATAGTGACATGCTATCAAGAGCATAAAATACAAGTCAATACATGAATAACGATATCCATGATCATATTACAAATATATGATCTCTTATATTTATAGAAAAAAATTCATTTACATTACATTAGATCTAGTCACTACAAGTATTTGATCATGAAATTTCAAAATAAATTGAAATTGTATTTCTGTATTTCAAATTTGGAAAATAGTTAAGAAAACATTCTAAGAAAAACTTTCATTTACAGTACTTTATATCTATCATGAAATTTCTATTTAAGTTAAAATTCTATTACAAATTTGGGAAATTAAATAGTTAACAAAGATTCCTAAGAACTCTAGAGAGAAAAAAACTGAAACTATTATACACATCAAGAAATGAACATATAAGAATAAATAACAATAGAACTAATAAATAATATGATAACTGAAGAAAATTAAACAATACTTAATATAAGATCCAAGTATGTTGAGTTTTTATTCTAAGCCACGTAAATATATAATTATAAAGTTTTCTATGAATATAAGGAAATTAATAAAAGCAAACATCGCGATGCTAGTGATGAAATGTTCAGTCTAATCCTCCTCCTCTTGAGCTGCAACAACAACCTTTGAAGTGTTACTCTTGTTGTTAGGCAGCAAATTTTTTTGAATTTTTGGAATAATACCACCATTCAGAATGGTCACATCTCTAAGAAATTTATACAATTTCCTTAACAAACCTAATAGCCAATTGAATATGCCTTGGAGTGATACGAGTCTTTTTTTCATTCCTCGCTGCAATTCAAGCCAATTCAAGAACCTACAATCAATCAATATATGTAAAATTTAGTAATCACTAACCCTAGAAATTTGACATATAAAAGAGAGAGAGAGAGAGAGAGAGAAAAGAAACTTGAGAAATTCACCTCAACTGCAAGGTACTCAAGCACAGTAGCGAGAATACCGGTGCTCCAGCACCAACACCTTTGTCATATTTCCCGACTTTGAGGAATCGGGCAATACGAAACACTGGAAATTTTAGACCGGCTTTGTTTCTACGAAATCTCCTTTTAGCATTTGAACCAAGGTTTTTCTCTTTACCGGCCATTGCTCTTTTTCACTTACAAAAAAAAAGTAACAATTTTGCTTTTCGATCTATAGAAACTATAGACAAATGAAGAGGAAGAATTGAATTGTTGTGTGTATGTCAAATTCTACAGCAATCTGGCTTTTATATTTGTAGCCCACCAGGAGTTATAACCCAGCCAATGAAAAGTAGATCACGAGGATTGAACTTGTATGCCGTTAGATGAAAAAGAAAATCAACGGTGGATAAAGATGTTGATATATTTAGTCAATTTCAAGAATTATAATAAGTTTATTTCCAAATATAAAGAATTATGATGTGTGGGGGTTTTCCAAAATTAATAAGTATTAAGATATGGTTGTTACCAAAAAAGGGGCTATAATGTCTTTAATTTGTTGCCAAAAAAAGAAGAAGACATAAGGAATTATGATGAGTTTTTTGCTCAAAAAATAGGGGCAGATTTTTTCTTTAATATTTTGGTTTAATAGCTCTTTGAACAGACTTGAAGTTTTACAACTTATTAAAGTGTAATTTGTATAGTAAAAGAAAATAACACATTTTATATGACTAACTTATTATCGGTTCAACAAGCTTGAAAATAACAGTAGCCTTCAAGGAAAATAAATTAATTAAACAAAATAATCAATCTTCGGACCTGGTGTCACTCGTAAATGAGCATCTACGTACAAAGAGGTTATATTTACAAGTCTGTCTAATTCAAAATATAGTAAGCCTCTGGACATCAAGAGCTCATCACAAACATAATCTATAACGATCTTGGGAGATCGGCCTCTCTTTGAGAATATTTCTTACTGAGAGCTGCATTAGAAAAAGATGGAGAAATATAGTATGAGTACCAAAATATGGGGTACTTAGTAGGTTAAACAAGTCGACCAAGCTTAGAAAGATCAAATAGATAGAGAGAAACACGACACTTCTAAACATTACAGTGGAAAGGTTCTAAGTTACGATAATCAACTTCCAAGAAAAGAGGGAAAAACACAAGATTGTGAGAAGGAATAAAACACTCAAGTACAAAACAGTCGTAACATACATACAACAACTCACACAAATAGGATGATGCGATGTAAGTGATGAATACAAGAAAGTAGAAGCATGGAAGAATCCTTGAACCACCCGAAATACCTTAGACTCATCAACAAGTGCATTGTAGTGAAATATAACTCGTATCTCAATTGACAGTCTTCCTTAAATTATACATCAAGATTATCACTGTAAAAGTGGCTCAATATGCATACAAACTCATAAATCAAGTATTTTGTCATTTTATGTCATAAAAAATCTGATTTTTTTTTATTTTCCCATATAAAATCTTCTTAAAATTTAACTAGTGAACCTCCCTTTCACAACTCAACATATGGGGAAAACATAGTGAAAACTATTTTCATTCCTCAAATATGAAAGTCCCAAAGGTTTTTCAAGAATAAACAAATCAAAAGTGAGTACGAAATGCTTTATATCGTACCAACTCAACACATGAAATAATCATTAGGGTAAAACCTAACGCAACATAAATGTACTAACTTGAAACTCGAGGTAGTCCAATCTCACAACCTCCGGCCCAACAATAAATAATATTAACGAATTTAAAGGCTCAAAATATAACGATTGGCACACAATCA